TGAGGCTGTCTATCACAAGGGGGGAAAAAAAAACAAAACCAAAATCCAGAACTCAAACAAAAAGCAAACAAACGGCAAAGGAACAAAACAAACAAATCTCTGCAGACAGATTCAAGAACGGACTTTGAAACAAGGCAGCTGCAAATTCACAGTACACATGAGGCTTGTAGTCATTGCAAAACCTTTCCACGGATGGTTCAGCTGTGGTGACAGTCACCTCCCTTCCACCAAACTGGTGCAACACGAGTTTCCTGCATGCCTCTTACACACTGACTTCCTAAAAGCCACATGGGATAACAGGATGGTCGTGGCTTCCTGCAATAAGCACTCACAGCCCACGCAGGAATGAGGGGGATGCTCTAGTGGGCTCAGGGCAGCCACAAAGGGGAAGTTCTGAGAGATGTCATCCTTGGAAAAAAGGCTGAGCAAAACCAAAGAACATGACCAAGAAAGAGCAGGACACAATACAGCACCCCAGAATTGCATAGGGAAAGGGGAATGAGGGTCCTGAGCACAGGACACCCCAAATAGTATTCCCTGCATGATCCTTTCTTGGCTTAAAGGCATCAAATTCTTCTCTCCCCTGGACTCTTCCACCTGAATTATGTGAGGAAAATAATATTGCCTTAAGAAGCTGGAAAAATATAGCTAACCCAGAAGGAGCAGGATGAGTAAAGCAGAGGGACACTGTAAAGGACTCCTGAGCTGAGAGAACGCCTTCCCCAGGGGGACTCCAGCAGAAAATGAAAAAGCCTGGAAACAGAGGGTGCCTGGCGAGCACTGGCTCACAGCAGGCAGTCCAGAACAGCACTTCTCTCTCAGTGCTGGACCAGAGAGGGAGAGGCAGGCAAGCTGGGGTTTCAGGGCCGGGTGAGCACAGGATGTGTGACCCCAAGTGTCAGCTTGAATTAAGGCAAGGAGTGCCACTGGGCCTCGCTGCCCTGCACTCCCCTTCCTCTGGACCTGGGAAGGAGGGCTGGGGCTGTGCAATAAGCCCAGCTGTCAGATCCTCCTACATCATCTGCAAAGCCATCGACCCTCTCGGGACCTTTGGGAGGGGAAAAACAAAGAAGACCCAGAATGCACACTTACAAAAAGCCTACTCTATTTTTGATTATAGGATTTCACTGTGCTTCTGTTGTGTTCAGGAAAGGTTCTCCCACAGAGACTGCAAATGCAAAGGAGGGAAAAATGGTAGAATGGATCCAGGTTTTGAAGAAAAAAAACACAAAGGGACATAACCCACTACGATGGAAAAGAAAGGTGCAAAACCAGCAAATCCTCTGGCTCTCTGATGTGCTGTCTAAGGACTAGGGCCAGATTCTGTGTTGATGGAATATGAACCTGATAACTGAGGTTTACAGGAAAACCTCCCACAGTGCCTTAACATGGTGCCACAACAACATCCCTGGCTAGAGAAATCTGCACAGAAAGATAAGAATTTCCAGTGCCTCCTTTATTTGGTATTTATTTCTAGAACTGGGGATCAGTCCAAAGTTTTGCTTATCAGTTAGTGTTTAGGAAATGTACTGACTTCAAGCATATCAATCTCCAAGATAACCACTCTCTGGACTTCAGCTTAGAAGGAAACCTTTACAAAACATCAGCTCAACAGGGCAGGAGAGTTTCTTGGGCTGTCTAGCTTTAAATGCCAGGCATACATTTCAAGTTCAATATGATTCCACATATAGGTTTAAGATCTACTTCTACACAGCTTTAAAAATTGTTTTAGTGCACATACTTGGTGTGTTTAATTCACCTCTTTACTGTGTTTTAGTACCTGGCAGAATTTGAGAATTTAATTCAATTTTAAATTAAATAAACATTTTATATAATTTATTGCTATATATGATAATTCTATAAAATCCCTTTCTAAGCCAGAGTATCAGTGTGACTCATCTATGAAACTCCTTGCTATTGTCAGTAACCAATTTTAAACACTGGTTTCATCTTCAGTCAGCGATATCACAACCTAAGGTTTCAGCTGTGCCTGGAATTATTCTGTACAAAGAGGGTGCAAACACTTGCATAAAAATCAGGTAGTCACATCCAAATTGTTGGATTGAAAGGAGGTGTAAAAATGGTAGTTAACAATGCTTCATACACGGAACTGAATTTACAACGGCCTCAAATTAAAAAGCGGGTGGGGGCTAAGAGGTGTCTTGATGAAAAATGCTGATTCAAGGCTTCATTTCTATTCAGTGATGTACAGTGTCATTACTGGGTGGCTGCACAGAGCAGTGGCTCAGAGTAATTACCCTGTAATGCACAGTGACACTAATGTACTAGTAAACTACTGCAGTTTATACTCTATTCACCACCAGAGTCAGGACTCTGAAAGGCAGGTAAAAATCCCCTGCATGCATAAACAATGTGTGTAAATGTCACCAGTGATAAAATTTTTAAAAAGGAAAAGGAAGAGGCAGTTACAAATAAATCTGTCAGCTGAGAATTGCAACTGCATAGACCCACAGGAGCAGTAAAGCTGTATTTTTTTGACAATACAGGAAGGAAAGATGCTTCTCTTAAAGCATCCTACCCAGGTTCTATTTCCATTTATTACAATTAAAACTGTATGGTGGCTGCTTCTTTTTGCCACTTTGAGTGCAAAGTTGGCTTGCACGTGGTGCTCAGCTTAGTGCAAGGGTAAGCATGGAGGGGAAATGAAGAGCATCAAAGGAGCAGCCAGAAGCATTAATGGTTTATGCTGACTGTCATAATGCTGCTGTGGTTTTAGACATACAGCTACAGGAAATGTGAGGAACACAAGCTTAAGAACAGGTGTTTTTGACTTCTTTGTTTAAAACAGCTCTTGCGGATGAAGCTTGGAACATGACCCAAGCATGCCATAAGGTGTCAGAAAAAGCAGACAAACAAAAAGGAATTATGAGCCTAATATACTTATGGGAAAAAAAAATATTACAATACTCTAACGGATTTTGGATGCTGAGACTAGAAATGAGGCGGCAGAGCTACACATCCCACATCCCAGGGTCAGAAGAAAGCCTTGCTCTTCCCCCAGGAGACAGTACCAATTACCATGTTTTTAACAGCCCCTAGTCACCAGCTAATAGACTGATGCCTCCAGAGCTGGCTTTCTCTCTGGCCCTTTCCTATTAAGTTACACAAGAGTATTCAAGTCCTTTTACCAGCACACAGCAGCAGTAATATCAGTTCTTCTACCATGAGCAGCTCCTTCTTTAAGATCTCTCAACCAGGGGGGTGGAGGCCCTGGTGGAAGCTGTCAGTGTAGCAGTTTATGTTGGATAAACTCCATTTTACCCTCTCTGCAAGCACTGCAACTGTTCTGCCTGACCCACTTTGCCCTGCTCCTGGTGGCACTGCCATTTATCTTGTGGAGGTACTCTGCCCTCATGAACAGCAGATCACTGAAGAGTTTTGTCAGTCTTTAGCTCTTTCAGCTTGGAGGAGGCAAGACACAGGTTCTCTGTCCTGCTGCTGTTCCAGCACCCTTCAATATTCTACAGTCTGTTCAGATGCCAAGGCAAGGATTTACACTGACCTATTCTAAGTAAGCTCTGATTCATCACCTCAATGACAGACTAGAGCAAGAAGGTCCTGCAAGTCATAACTGTCTCTGCCTCACTAGAGTGCTCGGCCATAAAAGCAAGGTAGTAAATTTTACCACAGAACTGGAGGTTTTCTAATCACTTAGAAGCAGCTGATGATCTCAAATGCATATGTCAAATCCCAGGGTACTTAACTTAAAGCTGAACGGAGGTTGTGGACTACCAAAAGATTGTGCACAACCAGCCTGACTCATGGCAAGACCAGATTTGGAGAGAGAACCGTGAATCTGGCATCCTCACACCACCCAGCACGTGGTTCCACCTCACATTTTTCAATTAAGAGCAGTTAGGGAAACGTGCAGACACAAGCACACACCAGCAGCCTTACAGTGTTGTGGCAAAACGGTGACAATCACCATACAGGTAGATTTGGTACTCTTTCTGTCACTGTAGCACCCTTGGAAGAGTGGGAAAAAGGGAAAAAAACCCCAAACCTAAGGCATAGAATATCTCTATGCTATTATACTTTGGCTGTTCTCCTCCTCCCCTTTTCTTCCACAACATTCCCAGAGTTTGATGTTAATATCCAGTTGCAGATAGACCAAGAAATCCCTTCATAATCCTGTACAATTTTTGCTTTGCTATCATTTATTCCAAGAAGAACAACCTATTTACTTCAATATCATACCTGAATATTGGCCAGTCTAACCAAGAAGAGCAAAGGGAGGTGTAAAAAGTCTGCACCACCACATATGCTTGCTTTGGAGACAATCTCATTTCCCCAGGCCTCAGGGGCAAACACTGGGGACTCAGCACTAGGGAATGATCCTCCAAATGGGGCAAAGAAATCAAGTGCTTGCATTCATACTACTTTATTTGCACCTTTCAAGCCAGGTACCTGTCTTAGCAGGGCTATTCTGGACTAACTCTGTACAAATTGGCTACTAGCATCACTCCCAAGGGCAATCAGCCCACCTAAAATTTAATTCATCCTCTGTAATGAATGTCCTTACCAAGTCTAGGAAAAAACCCCTCAAGCAACAGCAATGAGGACCGAATCTAGGCTTGAACCACTGTGCAACCTTTACTCACCTGAAGGGCAGTGGAAATCTGCCTTTTTGAACTCTGCCAGCAGCTGCCTGTGCCTTTGCACTGCCATTAAGAAGGAAAGGTGCAAGACAGAGGGCAGGACCTACAGTGTACCTGTCCCTGCAGGAGTGAACTAGTGGGGAGAGCAAACCACCCTGTGAAGTGATGGGATGTTCAAAGCTATGCAATGGGACACATGGGACACGGTCATCCTACGTACATCTCTCCTGCAGGAATTAATCTGCTCCCCTAATTAATTAATTCGTCCTTGGATGGAGTGTGACAGTTTGGCCATGGAGGCTCAGTGAACAAGTGAGTGATAACCACCCATGGCTGTGGCTGGTTTGTAATGCAAGAATGGAGACTGTCCCACGGACTCACCCTTGGATGGCGGTCTCTCCAGATCCGAATCCAGGTGGATCGGTGGGGCAATGTAGGAAACCTGCCCGTGGTGAGCCTGCCCTGTGGACAAATAAGTGGTTTAGTTCTGCTGTTTCCTACACAGATCTATCAGGGCTACAGTCAAATACACAGCATTTGGATTCAAAGCAGTCTCACAAGTATTTTGTTCGGTGTGTTTTTCACAATGAACTTCCCATTTGTGGAGGCACCTGGTGACAAGCGGAAATCACTTTCATCTCTCACTTCTTTCTTGCAGAGAGGGGTACTCTGGTGAACTTTAGTTACACCTGCTTTACCACTACTACATATACTTTACACCATGTTCTCCTGAAACGTTTTTTCTCTCTCTATATATATATGCTATGGAAGAGAACCCAATTTCATACAAACCCATTCAATCTGTTAATCTCACTTCAGGAGGGAAACAAGTGTTCCTATGTCACAGCCATTTTAGAAGGAAGCATGGCATGAAGCACAATCCCACCTGTTTTTCCCACCTGCAGGAGACACACATATTTTTCAGAGCTCAGCATTGCTTTGACATGAGTGGAAGATGTTTTTGGTTCCCAACATCATCATGCAGTTTCTCAGTTGCTAAAGACTCAATCCTTTTCCAACAATTTGGAGGTAACTATATCAAGAAACTTCTATTTATAATAAAAACAGTTTTTTATAATTCATCTATTTACTGTACCAATTTACAGGGTTGTTAATCTGTTCTTCTAAACATGGAAAGTTAATGACACACAGATTATGATAACAGTTAGAGTAACCTTCCCATTTCAAGTAATATTCGTTCTGCAATAAAAGCAGTTGATTCCTCTTAAGAGACACATTCCAAATAATTAATACAGCTCCCTGTTGACACTTGCTGTTGTTGCTCCAAGCAATTTCCAAGCTAGTGTCACAGGCAGAGGAGCAGCAGTACAGTCTTCCGGCTTCTTTGTAATGACATCCAGGAATACCACAAGCACAGTACGCTGGTGCACATAATATGTTGAAAGTATCTCTTCAGGGAGATAAAATATTAATGAGAAAGGGGAGAGGAAAAAAAAAAAGAAGTGTATCTGAATGTGCAGGTTATGTTTACTGCTTTACACTGAGGATGACTCAGATAATTTGCATTATTAGCCATTACAACAACTGGACGTAATTCAGGTTTAAAATCTACCGACACATCATAAATTCTGTATTTGCTTTTAAGTGCTTTAACATGGGAAATTTGCTTCAGGCGAATCCATAGCAAACAACAAGTCACTCTGCTTTCCTCTCCTCGTTTACATGTTAAAAACCCATTTGATGTCATTAGTGAGCAGAAGTCATCATTTAATAGTGCTCGGTTCTGCAGCAGAAACAAGCAGACAGTCTTCTCTCACTCCGAGCTGCTCAGTGTGCAGGATGATCAGCGCCCTTATAACACAGAACAGTCTCCTCATTTGCTGCATCAAAGATGCCACTGAAATGTAAAACAGCTGAGCTTGGCAGGAAACTCTGGAAATCACCTAGCCCAGCTCAAGGGCAGCAAGAGCCCATAGCAAGTGTCCAATCTGATTTCCAATATCTCTAAGGATGGAGACTCCACAATCTCTCTGGGCAATCTGTACCAGTGCCTTACCACCCTCATAGGAAAAGAAAAAAAAAAACAACAGAAAAGCTTTTCCATTATCTGCCTGTAAGAAGAGCCTGGCTCCATCTTTTTTATTCTCTGTCATCATGTACTTATACACATCAGTAAGATCCCTTGGATTATTTGGTCCAGGCTGGATACTCACAGCTTTTCAGCCCATCCCCACAAAGAGATGCTTCAATCCCTTTATCATCATTATGGCCCTTTGCTGGACTTGCTCTGAGCACAACTGCTGACACATGGGTTGAGGGGTATTTTTGTTTGGTTGGGTTTTTTTTAATCACCTGTTCTTCCTGGGAGCAAACAAAAAATAAAGAATTATTCTGGAGGCTTAAAGGGCTACACTGGAGTAAATAAGATACACCCACATTACATGAAGGACTAAAACACATCTGTAAGTTTGTTTAGACATTCATTACAATTGAGTAATAACTATGGAAGCTTATTATTGCTTTATTAAGGCTTTTACTTTATATGGAGGAAGCAGTAGCATCAAATGCTCTCTAGTGATAAATGAAACAAGCTACAGAAAGCTTTTATCTATTTGCTGCTGATGCAAAAAAAAAAAAAAAAAATCAGACTTCTGTTACTACTACTACTACTACTACTACTACTACATACTGCTAAAAAAACCCCCAGACTTCTGTTACACTGCACACTTCTCTCAGTGCTAATAAATCAAACTTTGGATTATAATGCTCCTTCTCCAAAAAAGCTATGCAAACAATTGTTGTGATTAATTTTCTGGGCGTGAATGCTAGCTCACTTGTTCTTCAGACTCATCAGAGTGTTCAAACCGGAGAAACAAAGGGTCTCTACTATTACCTTATGAATGTTTTTAATCAGCAGAATCATATTTTTGCTTAGATTTTACCATTATTGCCAGTGGTGACCTTTGAGACAGTTGAGGGAATGGAGGCAAGGGGAAGAAGAAGCAAGGCCTGGCAATGGGGCTGGTGCACAAGTACATGGTCTCCTTGGCTATAATGGCATTAAAAATGCTGCCAACTCACTCAGTTAAAAAGAAAAATTACTCAATGTACTTATGAAAGGTTTTGAGACTGATATCACTGGTACAGGTCAAGCTGATCTCAAAGACTGACAGAATGAGCTTTCCCAAGTGAGGCTGACTCCCAGTCCCTGTGGAGTGAGTTCTGCAGTTTCAGGTGCTTACTGCAAGCCCCAGTCCTAGCAATGAGGGACTCCCTCTCTTCAGTTCCAGCTGCTGTAGAAAAGCACTTTAAAAAATGGATGTGAGAGCCTTAAAAATAAATAAATAAATAAAAGGCAGAAACACTCCAACACTCCACAACCGTCTCTCCAGTCCTTCAGTTGTTTTCTCTGCACATTGAGTCTGAGCTGACAGTGATGCAGGAAAAAGAAAGAGACTTCTGACAAACTACCAAAGGTCAAGATGTCTCTGTTGCTGATGGGAAGTTAAGCACGCCTTGTATCAGAACAACTTGCATGGCCTTGTCCCAATCCCACCCTGCCTTTACCCATCTGCTCTTTCTGCAGCCAGCTCCCAGGTAAAAAAGTAAACAGCAATCAAATGTAATCATCAAAGTAATGTTTGATGAAGTTGCCAATTTTGCACCTACCAGCTCAGGTTGTGTTCTGTTTCCTTCACCCCTTTTGCCTGGAGAGGCCTGTGCCCATGGCTCCCTGTGAGGGATAATGCTGGAAGACAGCTGTGGATCATCCCTGACCTGCTTTTCTTGCACCAAAACACAGGGATGCGGGGCTGGCCAACACTGCCTAAATATCAAAAATATCAACCCCATCTCAGGTGAGACAGGGCAAGCACAGGTGTGGCACAGGTAGCCACAGACAGCAGTCTTCATAGCAGCCAGGCCACCTGCATGCGCTGTGACAATGTGAAAAAAACCCCCATGTTTGGTAGAAACGATTTGGGGAGCAACAATATGGATATGACCTTGAAAGTCTATCTGGTGACATGCCCTCCTCAGGTAGAGGAAATGAGAAAGATGTTTGTGAATTAGAAAAAGTGCTTGACTGGCCATTATTTTCGGGTCTGACACATGAGAGATACACTGCATTTTAAAAAGCCAATAACTTAGGAGAACAAAGAAAATGTTTTGTGAAGGCTGAAGGAAACATAATAGCTTGGCCTAAGGGATTTTTTTTCTTTCCTGTTTTTTTTTTTATAAAAAGGGATCTGGATGGTCATAGACAGAAAATAAACATCCACACATCTTCAAAAATCTGCCCCTAAGTGATTTAGTCATCTATAGATGCAATGATATAAAACTACAGAAAAAATCTGCAAATGCATGGGCTAACCAAGAAAAGTAGTAACAAAGAAGTCTCATGTGTGTATCTATTAAAACCACTTTCTCTTGATCCTTTTTGGAAGCATACCCACTGTTTTTAGTACCTGAGAGAGAAGGCCTTCCTCCTGATCCTGGACCAAATTTCCAGTGCTGGTGACATTTGATTTTTCTAGAGTACAATGCACATTGTCATGTGTGCACTTGGGAAACTTTTCTGCCTGGCCCCTGCTCATTTTCTACCTGAGATTTTCCAGTGCACTATCAAAGAGAAAACCTGCATGGAAAACATGAGATTGAAAGATTCAAACCCCCAAAAGCAAAGGAAAAAAAAACAACTTTTACCAGGCTGAAAGGCCTTTTAAAACATTTGGTGACTTGTCTCCTAAAGCCCTGGTGATGCCATGGAGACAACCACAGTCACCTGAACGAATGGCTCTCCCTTTTCCCTGCTGCTCCTTTGCTCAGTGCCCATGGTGGGTATGGACAGTTGTGCACGTGAAATGCAGTTCTGCCCCACACCTGACTCACATCCAGCAGCAGCAGTGAGAAGCCACCAGGAGATATATTTTTTTAAACAAACATCCTTCAGACTCTTTGTTCTCAAGGGATGAGAGTCCCTTTTCTTTGCTGTCCTTATCCAGAGGCGATCACTGCAACACATTTTTTTGCTGTCATGTCAGATTACTCAGATTTCCACCCATTTTCCAGCCTATTTTAGCATTCTTTTGTCTTCCACAGGTTCACCAGTTCCCAAGATCCTTTTTTAGACAACCTAGTCAGCATTTCATGCAGAGGATTTAATTTAATTTCGTGCTGGTATCTCTGATGACCCGTGTTCCCAGGTACTGCCTCTCCTACACCCTCTCTTGTCTGCACCTCTGAATGCAGGCACCTCCATGGATTTAATCCCTCATCTGTTAGTCCATTTGCTTGGATCATTAATTAGGTAATACTCATGAAACCACATATCCATTCCTGAGCCTTTCATTTCAGTTCTTCATATATTTTTACTTTATAAAAAAATAACAATAGGATGGACACATACTAGGTATGCAAAAAACATTCTGAGGAAAATGCTTGGAAAACATAATGACAATTTTACTAATATCTCTACAGATAAAATATTCTTTACATACTGT